TTCAAACTACCTTCACTGCAAAAGGTTTTCATAGCCAAAACTAGCTAGTTCTTGTCAATTTGTCCGTATCATAGTGCAACAAATCATGAAAATATCTATCAGGTAACTTCATGTAAGATCGACATGTATAACTAAATAAACAAAATGCAAGTAGAATAGAAAGAAGGGCAGGAGAAATCCCATGCTGAATGGTAAAAAGGTATGCGTTATTTTTCCTCTAAGCGCTGCAACACAGACTGAGCAAAGTTTTGTTGCCTACAAATGATTGAAAATGACCGAGGTTAACAGGATTTAAATTTCTCAAGAATTAGGAATGTGTGAACTGATCTAACAAGTTATGACAGGATGGTACAAACAAGTTCAAGCAGACAGAGTTAATTACAAAACTGAGAAGAAAGTTTAAATATTTAATAAAATATTCAACATATTCTGTACGGAAAAGTAATAGATGAAGTGCTGCCAACGGCACAAATTTCATGGGCGAGTCATTTATGGAAAGAATCCGTGTTTCATTATTGCACAAATTTCACTTAGTAATCACTTTTCAAATATTAGATAAGTTATGCTCCCATCCCCCGCAGCACCCTCCCTTTTATCTTAAAAGGTAACCCGCCTTTTTTCCTAGAGAATAATGAGTTACACTTTAGTCTATTTTAACCTAATCAAACTTCTTGAGAACGTTTTCTCTCTCCTTCTTTGATTCTCAATTTCTCACATCATTACTAGCTTATTATAAAGCTCTGCCAATTGACTGCTGAGCTTGAAATAAAAATAACAGACATGCATAGTTCTAATTATGAAATCTTGGCGACAAAGATCATATGATAACATGATTGAGAGATTGAGAAATTTAACTTACTTTCTTTCTCTGTGTTTTGGACTGGGGCGAGAATACTTCAGATATCCATCCCAGGGAACCTTTTTGAGCCCAGCACGATGTGAGATAATATCTCTCACCCTGTACCGTTGGAATGATATATTCTGTTTCAATTCCCTGCAGCAAAACATAGGTTCATACAATATGGAATAAAGATCTTTTACCTCTCTGCAAATTCAATGGATGTCTCTCCAGGCTTCAAGTTTTGTGGCTCCAAGTACCAAACATCACAAACTACAGCCCAAGATGTCATTAATTGCAAGAGATGAGTGGTGAATGATTGTCTGAAAGTGTAGGAGATACAGAAACTCTTATCCAGCAATACAAGAAAATATGAATGAATAGAAAGAAAAATTAATTATCACGTAGAAACCAACTTCTTACTTTCGACTATTCCAAAACGCATCTACGAAAATTTTATTGTACTTGATTGCAACTGGGCAAACTGTGCAGCCAAGTTCAAATGCACCCTAAACATCATTAAAATTAGAAGAGACTTCAATTATATTTAGAACTTTCAGATTACAGGAATTATAATACAAGTGGATGGAGACAAAATTAAAGAGGAAAAGGAAAGCCTATTGTGTAAGTAAAAGTGTAAAACTCAGGCATTTCACGTTCAATGCAATTGCAAATGATCCTATACCTTCTTAAACATGACTGTATAGTGATTATTTACACAAGTTCCTTCAGGAAATATAAGAAGAGGGTTATTGTTAGCTCCCAGGACATGTTCCCTCAATCTGAAATAAGAAAAATCACGTCAGAATAAGATTTTAGATATATTCTCCCAACATTTTCAATTATACTTACTTCCTTGCCACAATTTCTCGATCCTTCACCTCTGTACGATTGAACCAGATACACCCTACACTCTCTAAAATAGTGCTCTGCAATAATCCTGTGGATGAAATTCAGAAATGTATCAGGCATTAACTTGTGAAGAGCCCATCGAACTTTGAAGGAAAGTAGATCTGGATGAATATATAGTTTAGTAACAAATGTACAGTGTACTACCATAGAAAGATGCAATAGCACCTAGAATGATTAATTTGGTTGAGCGTGAGAAGATCAAAGGACATCCTTGAGTTTGTTTAAGTTCTAAAAAGAAAAGGATGTTTAAAATGAAAAGATCTTCCCTGTCAACTAGTAATTTTCTCAACAAATTTCCACCTATAACTCTAAGATCGGACCACATTAAGTAATAAGGATGCTCGGTGGAATATTTAAGCGTTTGAGTCTTCTTTATATGTAGTTAGCGTTTTGAGGGTGGATTCCTCAAGTGTTTGGGTACTTATCAATTAGTTGTTGATCTTTTGGAAACAGCTGATTGGTTCTTCCTCCTTAACCACTAGAGAGGAGGCTTAAACTCTCACTGATAGTGGGGTAGTCTACTTGAGCCTCGCAAGGAATCTTATTACCAAGCCCAAATCGTTTAAGGATTATGTTTGACTGGTCTATAAAAGTTGTACTACCTCTATTTGATAGGAATAATGCTTTTAGAATATTGACTAGGTGTCTGACTAGGAATGATCTTTCAGTGTAGACAAAGTCTTTATAATAATTAACTTTGAATGAAACAAGGCAGAGAAGAAAGTTTTTTCCCATTAAGATAGTTTCTCCTTTTTGTTGCCTATTTATGGTATCAATTTTGGTGCTCCTGTTGAGAGTTCTTCATGCCTCCTAAACCAAACAAAAATATTGAAGAAACCCTACAATCCATTCTGGACGAACTAGCAGGCTTGCAAAACCAATTTGATGCAGCTCAGGATCACTAGGAGGGACGTTACACTGCCTTCCAAAATGCCATCGACACTCGCCAGTTAAACCTGGAAACCGAACATGATACTCTTCATCATGCTGCCAACTACTATCTACTGTTACAATTAAACCCCCCTTTCTCCAAATAGATATGACTTTGATCCTCACACTCCAATCTTCCTTGGGCCTCAAGCCCAACTTTCCTCCACCAACTACCACCATGTTTCACACCGTCTTTACTACAGCCACCACAACCACCACCCTTCCACATCGTCACCATCCCAAACCATTCACCCACCAAAATTTCAACTCGCCTTTTTTTGACAGATCTGAACCCCTTTGATTGGTTCTTCCAAGCTGATCAATTTTTCCAATTTTATCATATACCTTGAGAGTTTTGTTTAAACATGACAGCTTTCTACATAAAAGGCAAAGCCTTAAGTAGGTTAAAGTGGATGTATCAAAATCAAACTTGTGGATGGGATATTGTTAGTTATTCCCGATTTAGTTTAATATATTTCTGTATTGAAACTGTTAGATGTAAAAAGCTTAAGTCCATCTCTTTGTATTTCATATTTATAAATACATAACCTTATGTGCTCTTGATAGAAGATGGAAGGTTTACGAGAGGAAGAGAAGAGTTAGGAAGGAAGGAGAGAAGGGGTAGTGGCTTCGAACTGTTCTAACTGCAATAACAGTTAGAAGTGGCGGGAAGAGAGCTCATATAAAAGAGCTATGGTTTGTTGTAAATATTTATTTTGTGAATTCTTTTGTATAGCTAGGATTCTGTTATTTTGTGGAGGGAGAACTTGGCTCCCTTATGGACGTGAATACACTGTACAAGAACAAAGAAATTCAATACACATTCTAACTGTTATTGCAGTTAGAACAGTTCGAAGCCATTAACCATTCTCTCCTTCCTTCCTAACTCTTCAACTTATGCCTCTTTCTCTTTTATTTCAACATTTTTTATAGAGCTAGGGTTAATCCATGCCTCTCCCACTGTTTGCTGGAGTTATTTTTCTCTTTTATTTTTTCTGAAAACTTTTTTATTTTTGTCATTGTTCTTAGTATTCTTTTCCAGCCATCGTTTCTCGCCACCGTGCTGTAGCCATCACTATACCACTGCTACTTCTGCCAGATGTTTTCTCTGACGATCCTACGACTTTGCTCGCCCGGCTAGGCGATCACCATGCTGCAAAATTGTGCGATCAGAGCTCCAAGGCGCCTCCACACTTCGTTTCAATACTCATTGCTACTGCCAGTTGCTGCTGCTTGTCCGATGGTCTCTTTGGCCACCACTTCCCACAGCGTGTGGCAGTGCATGAAGGTATTATGTTAATGAGATAGCAGGTAGTTAGGATAGCAACACCCCAAAAATGAATAAGCATATTTGCACCAAGTAATAAGCTAAGAGCAATTTCAACCAAATGTGTATTTTTTCTTTCTGCTATATCATTTTTCTAGAAAGATATAGAAGGCTGTTTGGAAAACTTATTAATCTACTATTACTAGACCAGATTTGTCCTTTGCACTTGGTATTGTGAGTCAATTCATGCAAAAACTGTGTATTGATCACTGGAATGTTGTGATACGTATTATAAGATATCTCAAAAAGGATCCAGAACAAGAACTACTTTATGAAGAAAAAGGGAATACTCAAACTTTTGGCTATTGTGGCTCATTGTGATGGTTCTCCTATGGATAGATGATCTATTACATTATATTGTGTTTTACTTGGAGGAAATATTGTCTCTTGGAAAAGTAAGAAGCAAAATGTTGTTACTCGATCATTTATTGAAATTGAGTATTGAGAAATGACATCTCTTGCTTGTGAGCTTATATGGGTAAAATAGTTCTTACAAGAACTAAATTTTTGTAATATTCAGCTTACAAAAATGTATTGTGATATTCTGCATTTCACATTGTTTCCAATCCACTGTTTCGTGAGTGAACTAAGCACAATGACATAGATTACATCTTATCTGAGAAAAGTTGTTGTCTAAAGAAATTTTCACCGAGTTTGTTTAGATCAAATGATCAACTTGCACATATATTAACAAAATCCTTGAGAGGCCCAGATTGAATTTATTGTTCTAAGTTTGGTATATACAATTTGTATTCAGCTTAAGAGAGAGTGTTAAAATAAACAATTATTAATAGGATTTATTGCTAGGTGTTATGTGCTTTGTGTTCAACCTAATTCCTAGAAATGTCTTCTAGAATTCTCCTTTATTCATTGTATCCTATATATCCCAAGCTATTATAAATACGAAATTCTTAGAAAGGGAATACATACTCTATCAAATTCACTCTAATTTCTCTGTATTTTTCTCAAGTGTATCCATTATTATTAGCCGCTATCAACTTTGAGTAGTTTTTGAAAGGATTTGGAAGATCTGACTGTGCCCAACTCCCGATGAGCACCACATACCATCATCCAATGAATGACCAGATTAAGGTGGTAAAAATGATGTTCAGGGGTTAATTTGCATCGCTTGATGGGTACAAAGCCTAGACAGTGGGCATTGCATTTAGCTCAAGCTGAATTTCGGTTCAATACAAGTTACTAAGATGTCTCATATCTGATCCTTGTATGGGTAAGACCATCTTCCTTTATCGTTGAAAGCAAACCACAATTCCTTCCATAGTTAAGGAACCCAATTAGCAACTATACACTTTGAAGATTAATCTCACCTTTCCTGAATTCCATCTTCGGGACAATGTGTCACTTAGCACTGGGGTACTGTTGATAGAGTATGCCCCCCAATAACTATGGTCTATGAGAAGAGAACTGAGAAAGAGTTAGGAAGGTTTGTTATGTTCCTACCTAGAAGGCAATTATTAAGAGCTAGGTACCAGGGTATGTAGACAATAAGATTGGAGAATAAGGGCTAGGAATAATGTGGGCATCAGTTTGGCAGGGGCCACGTTCCTCAAAATACATGCACCTTCTGTTTTCTGTAAGTACTGCATTTAGTGAATAACAAGCTCTTGTCTCTCTGTTATATCAGTCTTTCTTTTTTTTTTGCTGTCTTCAGGTACCAACTCTATTAGTTCATCAGATACATCCTTCATCTCAAGGGCCATTTAGGCCCAAAGTTTTTGTATTCTTGCACATCAAGAAAATTATTCACATTTTCTGAATTGAAAACAAACTTTCATTATGATAAGCGTTTAAAAATATAGAGTAGATAGCTTAGAAGAAGTTCAGAATCATGTTAGCACCATTATTCTTACTCTAAAAAAAACTGATTCACCCAGATACGGTATGCCACAAGCAAATATAGAAATAGAAAGCTGCTTTGATGATAATGACAGGGCTCAGTTTGTATTAAAAAGCAACACAATAGCACTATACACTAACCAACCCATCCAGGATGCTTCTGCATAATAACAGCAAATGCAGTCATCTGTTCTAAGATAATGAAATCAATCATGGAAGTATGATTGGCCACAAAAACCTGTTCAATAAAGGGAAATCCAGATTATTAATAAGTAACATTCATATTATGATGGATATGGTAATAAAAACTATGGAAGAACCAATGTGCATCAGACAAACCTGTTTTGGTCGTACACTGGGCCTTGGCCCATGGTACTTAACAACCCCAGTCCAGGATGCAACAAAGAAACTGCACATCATCTCCACCAAACACCTCTGAAAGAAACGATAATTGAGAAATTTAGAGTTCATTGATTTGATACACAGCAATTTAGTAGTTCATTGAAGTTGTTATCCACCAAAAGGAATGAAAATAGAAAGACTAAGATAGAAGTTGTATTCATCTTATGCCATGATCTCATCTTATGCCATTACAACATCTGTCAATAAAATTATAGTAAACATGTATTTAAAATATAAAGAAAAAATAAATAAGTTATGTCCTCCGGAAAATTGTCTCAAATTTGTTGCATTGCCTTACTAGGTTGACAAGTAATTAGATTTAAAAAATCAGATTTAGAGCCGAAAATCCTTTAACTAAGATATTACAATTAAAAAATACTAAGAGATAAAGCATATGACAAAATGAGAATTTTCATGATCGATGAGGCAACTTTAACTGAAGCCCGACGATAGGTGTTTAAAATTAAAACCAAACGAAGTAAAGGCTTACTAAAACACTACAATAAAAGTAGCCTACGAGCTGTAGCTCAATTGACACCAAGTCTCAAACCTCAATCCTAATAATAATAATAATAAAATATAAACAATATGTAGAACACAATGATACCAAATAGTTGGACATTGTAGGCCTTTAAATTGGAAATATTATGCACATTTAGAATTATTGTCCATTCAGTACCAGCCAGACAACTGACATATAGGAGTTCATTGTATTTTAAGCTAAGCTAAATCAGACAATTGAGGTGTCCTTTTTACTTTTTATGGACCGAGTTCAAACTTCAAAGATGTCTTACAATTTCTATATGGCGCAGGTTATAACAGCCATTAAATGCAGTCTTCCTAGTGTGCAAAACAGAAACAGAAGTCTGTGCACAAAAAATTTCAACTGGACAAAATAGCAAGAATAATCTGAATTGATACCTCAATCTTTTTCCTCAAATCATCATTTCCTTTCAGGAGGCAGTGCACTGGAATGAAGGCTGAAAGAAATATAATCCATCCTAATGTCAACACTAGAATTCTGCAGAGTCAAACAGGACACATCACATGGCCAGAAAAAAATTGTAGTGAACTGAGGTATTAACATGAGAAGCATGAGAGGGAAACTAATGGGCCAAACACAAACATCGTGTTTAAAGTCAAAATATTAGAAAATTCATTTGATTTATAACTTTTATTTTTCTAAAAGGAGTTTCTTTGATTTTGAAATGTTTGGGACTTAGGTGTGAACATGCAAAAATCTGCTCAAATTTGGTGGGATTTAATTTTAGTTTTTGTTAAACTGACAACATGGCCCTTATTATACTGAGAAAGAAATAACTTCATGAGACATTTGAATAAGTTTTTAAATAAAATTGGTTTTATTTTTATTTTTTTATTCCAAATGCAGGAAAATAAAAATGTAATTGAAGTAAATCTTTAGTTCAAATCATATCCTAATAAACTTTTCCTAAAATGCGTCTAGTCTCGATGCATGTCTACTACCAAATTTAGCATTGAAAATTAGCTAGGCAAACCCTAAGATTAAATGATTTCGGAAGTCCTATTGCATCATCATGCATAACATGTAAGTATCGAAAGTAAAGCAATAACCTAACCTAATAGGGAAAATAATCAAATATCGAATCACAACTCCACAGCACCACAAAGGAAACAAATAAACATTCCAGTTCCAAGGTTCTGGAGGATTTGATTTGAAGCACCTTGTGAATGAATCCTATAACATAAAATTCAGTCAGTAACCACAATGTGAGTGATATTTCAAGAAAAGATGACATGTCTTGATGGCTTCAGGCTTGGGAATAGAGTCTGAGAATTACACAGATATAAATGAAAAAGTCAAAACACTACAGTTCCTCTCTGCTGGATTTCACCTGGAAATGGGAAATTTTAGTTCAGTGTTTCACCTGGAAATGGGAATATTGAGTTCAGTGTGGAATTGCATGTGGTTTTGGGTGTTCCAAATTTGTCTGATGAAACAGGGCTCTCTGGTCCGGTTTTGTGACCCCAGGATGAAAAACAAACCTTGGCTTATTACCTCACTCGTGGACTTCTCTCTGGCCATTAGCACCCATTCTTTGCCCTCTCTAAACTATCCAGTTCCGTCACTTTTCTCTGGCCTCTGCCTTCTGTTTATGCACTCAGATTTTTGCCTCCATTGACTTTATTGTTCTTCATATTCTGTATGTTGGTAGTGGGCAGTTCTCTCTTTCAATTTTATTTGTGATTTTGTTCTTTCAGTTATGCAATCAAAAAAATCTTGTTATGATATATTGTGGGCTATATCTTAAGAATTTTCAATTTTAGTTAAATATCGTGATTTAAATGTCATTTTTGTTATCTAAGTTATTTTCTATGAATATGTATGTGTTTAAAGTATAGTTTTATGTTGTAGCTAGGATCATACTATCCATATTATGATCCTGCAATTTACGGACATCTATCCGCTTCCTGATTCTTGGTAGGACCTCAATTTTGACAACATTGGGAGATTTTCTACAACAGCAAGTCAGGATTTAGGTTTAAAAATGTTGAACTCATCATGTTTGACGTTAAGTTCTCTCCATAACTATTCCATCATCAGCAATTTTCCAAAAGATAATAATTGACATACCAAAACCACAAAGCAGAAGAACAGCATATGAAGACAAGGTCAAAAACTCACATCTACAATGGCACCTGCTGCCTCAGACAGACTAGGTGAAATGTCGAGCAAATCACACCTGAAAAGAGAAGTTGTATATGTTGATATTGCATTGCCACGAGATTTCGGAAAACCCGAGGAGAAAAAACTTAAAATGAGAACTTTAAATCAGGAGAACTAAATCTCCATTCCTCAATTAGATCATGCAAACGGAAGACTACTCCATTTTCAGTGCCCTCATCATTGAGTATCTAAACAACAGTAAAAGCAAGACATGAAAATGAAAAAGAAAACAGCAGAGGCACATACAGGCGGAGCTTCCCATGCCGTTCATGTTGAACACTGGATCCAGAGGGTAGGTAATCCTCAATGTTTGGCCGATCAAGGTCCAATTCAGAACTCGACGATTTGAGTTTCCCAGTTCTATTCATCTTTGTTACGCTTCCACAACAACCAAAATCGCGTGACTAAATTAGAGACCTTTTGATCCTGAAACAAGCATGGATAAAAAATAAGTGCTTCAATAAAATCTTCAGAGTTAGTCAACAAATTTCACCCTTCGTTGCAGCAATTGATTGATTAATAAATTCTATAATCTAATTCCACCAAACAGTTTCCATGCAATGACATAATTTGGTAAAAAAACCTTTAGCTCTTTCTTTAAAAGATCGTTTTGAGGAATGTGGGAGACATTTCTTGTAATATAAAATAACCTCTTATGTGTTTTTCCAATTTAGTATGACTTTAGTTCACTTTTTTGTAATTTATCATCTAAGAACATTTTTGCTTTGTTAGAGATAAAATAAGAATACATAGGGTTATATTGTCTATCAGATTAAACATTTGCATATTTTTTTTAGGTTTAATTGCTTCCTTTCTCCCCAGTTTGGTTGAATTGTGTCAAATTCATCCTCATTTTTAAAAAAGTTTCATTGTCGTCCTCACGTGGTGTAAAAGTGTTAATTGAATCCAAACATAGAAAAAATTTGTGTCAATGTAGTCATTTCCGTTAAATACACACTAACGGTGTTAAGTGGCTGATTATTTGGCACTAACGTGGCAAATGAGTCAGAGTGGTAATGACGTGTGCACAAACTCTGGCCATGAAGTGTTCCCCTCTTCTTCTGATACTTCCTCTTCTTCTTCTTCTCTTTTTTCTCCGGGTAGTGACAACCACCGGCGTAACCAGAGCGTCTTTAATCAAATCAACAATCAATTTATCCCTAACATCCCTCATGACAGCATTGATCACCAACCCCACTTTCATCCCATCTAACAAAACACTAAAATCAGCCTTTATATACCACAAATAAGCAGCAACGGTTTTGTCTCGCGGGGATTTCACGAAGAACTTGAGTCTGGCGCCCCACTTGAATTTTCCGTCGAGGACGGCGTTGCGAAGGGCGAGAAGGTCCTGGAGGGTGGAGGTGGAGATGGAGGAGCGGGGGACGTAGGAGCCCGTGTCGTCGGTGGCGACTTTCTGGTAGGCGAGGAGCCAGAGGTCGAAGCGGCGGAGGAGGGGGGAGATGGAGGTGACGACGCGGTCGGGGTGGCGGAAGTTGTCGATCCACATCTGACAGCAGAGGGAGACGCCATCGTCTCTGGAGAGGGTGGAAGAGGAGAAACGACGAGGGGAGGAGAGAGGTGGGTGCAGGATAGGAAAAACTGAAATTGGCCGCAGGGGATTGGTGGTATTGGGGAGAAGTACATGGCGGAGGCGGCCGGAGAAGAAGGGAAGACGGCGACGCATTTGGAATTAGTGTTGTCCGAGCATTGGCTTGGAAGGGAGTGAGGGAGGGAAGCAAAACCCACCAAAAATTAAAAGTGTAAGACTAAAAGCCTCCCCTTGTCTCTCTTCCTCTCCCTGCAACCAAATACAGAACAGAATATACATTCATGCTCTTCCCTCTTCTTCTTCTCCAAAACCATTCTAATTAATTAAATCAAAACACACTATAAAATTATATTCTTTTCTTCTTCTACCCCCTCGCACTAATTTATCAAAACCCTAACACAAGATGGTGAAGGTGCGAATGAACACCGCCGATGTAGCCGCCGAGGTTAAATGCCTCCGGCGCTTCATTGGAATGCGGTGCTCCAACGTCTACGATCTTTCTCCGAAGGTAGCTCCTCCCTTTTCATTTTTCGTTCTTTCACTTTCCTCAATTCGATTTGATTCCATTTTCCTTCTCTGCAGACCTACGTGTTTAAGCTGATGAACAGCAGTGGAGTTTTGGAATCTGGGGAGAGCGAGAAGGTTCTACTGCTCATGGAGAGTGGCGTGAGATTGCATTCTACTATCTACATGCGTGACAAGAGCAACACGCCTTCTGGTTTCACTCTCAAATTGAGGAAGCATATTCGTACCCTGGAGAAAAAAGAGAAGAAGAAGAAGAGGAAGTATCAGAAGAAGAGGGGAACACATGGCCAGAGTTTGTGCACACGTNAATTTATGCTCAGTTATGCATCGTTCTCAATGGTACCTTTCACTCTTCTTTAAAAAAAAAATTTCCATTCCTAAGACACATGTTCTGAAGTCTGGGAATAGGTCAAATTATTATACATCAATGATACTCAATTTCTTTATGACGTTTGTCATGATCTTTTCAATGTTGTTTCTCATCAACATTAAAACACTATAGCTAATTATATGGGTAAGTTTCATGCTCTTTTTTATGAATTTAATGAGTTATTTCCATCACCTCTACTCCTACCCAAGAAATAGAGTAACAACTAAAGTTCTTCATGATAATGGCATTACCTAGACTTGTTGATAAATATTCCTATATACGTGATCAACTTTTGGGTTAACTTGTTGTACCTACTTTGGCTTCTACTTGTTCCACTTTTTTGCTTGTATTAAGTACACCCATCAATGATACACCTTCTTCTGCTGATGATTCCTCTACATTAGAATCTCAACATGATTATCACAATCGCTCTTGCAAGCTTAGAAAAGGACATCACAAGTGTGACCAATGTGGCAAGTTAGGCCACAAGATTGATAGGTGTTATGCATTAATGGAATTCCTCCTTGATTTGCTGTTGTTGTTTAGATTGATCCTCCCTCACAATCACCTCATGTGAATCCTCCTTCATCTAATATCACTAACAAATCTGTTATTATTAGTAATTTTCTCAAATGGTATGAGGATCAACAACCTTCTAGTTCCAATGCCTCTGTAGCATGCATAAGTACATCTTTTGTTGGTTTGACTAAATTTTCTTCTCTTGGTCCTTGGGTTCTCGACTCCAAAGCCACATATCACATTACTGGTCTTGATAAGTTATCTCCTCGATCACACAAATGTCTTTTTTTAGGATTTATTAGATCATAAAAAGGATACAAGTGTTTTTCTCCTTCTCTTAACCATTATTTTGTTTCTACAATGCACCTTCAATGAGTGTTCTTTTTACTTTAAAAATATTTCTTTTTCTATTATGTCTTTGTCTACTATAGTTAATATTCCTAATACAATTCATATTCCTATTACTTGTGCTCCTCAATTTATGCCTAGTCCATTGTTAGATTCTTTTCCACTACCAATCTAGGTTTATAGTCACCGACATTGTCTTCAACAACCACCAAATGACTCAATTCAAGTGCCAACTACTATGTCTCCTTCGGCTCTGACAATTGAGTTTGACCTCCCGATTGTTCTCCGTAAAGGTATACGCTCTACTTGTAATCCCTCTCCACATTATATTTTTTTAAGGTATCATAGATTATCTTCACCTTTTTATACCTACCTTTCATTCAATTTTTATGTGATGCCTTAACTCATCTTAGTTAGCATCAGGCCAAGCTAGATGAACTAAGTGCTCTACAAAATAATGGAACTCGAAAGCTTGTCCCATTACTATATGAGAAATCTATTGTTGGTTTCAAGTAGATTTTTACTATCAAAGTTGGTCCTAATGGTATTATTGATCACATCAAACCCATCTTGTGGCCAAAAGGTACACACAAATTTTTGGGTTGCATTATGGCAATGCTTTTTCTCTAATGGAAAAGATGGCTTTTGTTCATTTATTTATAACCATGATTTTCTGCAATAATAGCTTATTTATCAACTAGATGTCAAAAATGCATTCCTTAATGGAGAATTGTAGGAAGAGATTTATATGGAGCAACCTTCAGGATTTGTTGCTAAAAGAGTGTCTTCTGGATTGGTATGTCGTCTTCGCAAATCATTATATGACCAAAAACAATATCTTAGGGCATGATTTTAAAAATTTAACAGCGTTGGTCAACAATTTGGTATGACGTGGTGTGAGGTAGATCATTCATTCTTTTATTGTCACTCAAGTTCTAGATGTGTTTACTTGATAATATATGTTGAGGACATAATTCTTAAAGATAATGACAATCATGGCATCTCTCATATGAAACAACACATTTTTCACTTTAGACCAAAGGTCTTGGAAAACTCATATATTTCTTGGGTATTGAGGTGGCATAATCCAATGATGGTACTGTTATAAATCTTAAAGGAAGTATGCATTGCATATTTTGGAGGAAATTGAGTTGATGAATTCAAAATTTGTTGACACACCCATGGATCCTAATACTAAACTCCTATCAAATCAAGGGGAGCCTATGTCAGATCCTAAGCAATATAGAAAATTAGTTGGAAAATTGAATTATCTTACTGTTACTTGTCCTGACATTTCCTTTGTAGTCAATGTAGTAAGCCAATTTCTTAATTCTCCATGTGAAGATCATTGAAATGTTGTCATTTGTATATTAAAATACATTAAAGGATCTCCTAGAAAGGGATTGTTATATGGTTCTAATAACTATACAAGATTTGTTTGTTATTTAGATGTTGATTGGGAAGAATCTTCTAATAGATTAATATCATCAAACACATTTTCCAATTCATTAATAAAATAAAGTTCTTGGATCTTATTTGAATGGTTCAATCTTTGACGCTAGAGTTGATTTCTAGATTTAGGACTAACCTTCAGGGAGTTCAATGTGACCCTTTTTATCTAGGAAGTCAAATTGAATTACTGGTGTCAAAAATTGAAGCCATTTAAAGTAAGATTCAATTCTAGTTTTATCTCAAAAACCCATTTTATAGATTTTAAATTTAGTTCTAATTTTTTCATTTCCAATCATGATTCCTGTAGTAAATTTTCATTTTCTAGTTTCTTTTATATTGCAATCTAGTTTTCTTGTCATTTTATAGACTTCCTTTGTGACTTTGTGCAAGTACTAACTCAAAAACCCATTTTCTGGTTTGCTGTCAAACTTAGTTCAAGTTGCTTGGTTCATAATTTTCAGATTTTTTTTCTTTTTCTTGATTTGATTTCTGGATCCATAATCAATATCAAAAGAGTGCAATGTCACCATATAATCCAGTGATTTCCGGTGAATTGATTGGTACAAAATGCTGAAAATTATTGATCAATAATCTAGAGCTTGGTTTTGCCTTTAAAACCTAATTTTGTTCTGTTTTGCAACTTAATTAATGATTTTTTTTATTTCCATACATATTTCATGTTATTCCCGCTGGTCCTAATATTTTTCCATGATTCTTGACATGTTCCAACCCTTAGATTTTAGTTTATAATTCAAATTTCTCATTTTCTTAAAATTTGGTAATGTGGTTCTTTTTCTTGCTTGTTGTTCTTAGTTATCTTTCACTTTTGATTTTTGTGACTATGTAATTAAAGTGCATTTCTATGCATTCTAGCAAGTTTTTCTAGTGTATTGAATCATGTTTAAGCCATCAATTATCCTATTCAATGCATTTTACAAATTCTGACCCATTGTGTAGATTTTAGGTTTTTTAGTCTAGCTTGAATTAGGAATTTTATTCTGCATTAATTCTTTTGGTAAATTCTTTGTTTTAGATTCTCATTAACATCACATTAAAAGTGTTTAAATAATAGGAACATTCATTCATGCATTGCAACACATTCAAACCCATGATTGAAAAAATAAGCATGAGCGCTTTTCTTGGCTGAAAATTCTATTTTAAATAGTGATTTTGTGAATGTGTGCTTGTTGGATAATTCTTAACATTTACATTGCATATTTTAGTGTATTGAAAATTTTTCAAGACATTTACAATGAATGAAATACACAACTACCAAGCAACTCTTGTTTTGAAGTTTAACAAACGAACTTGAACGAAATAGCGTTTATAGCTTAAACCATCTAGAGGTTATGTTTGACAAAAAAATGTTGAACAATATAAGCAAATCATCTATATTGAGCTTGGATAATATTTTAAACAATGCATGGACAATGTGTAACGTAAGTGCGTTTAACATCTCAACTGTTTAAGACAAAGCTTTTATTAAACGTTATATCTTGTAAACACTTTGTTACTCAAAAGAATAGACTTTTACGCTAAATGCTTAGTATAAAAAACATGCATAAACGCTCTATAACGCTTATAACATTAAATGAATGTACAATTTGTACTTCTTTGTTTATGGTGCTTTGTTTATCTTTATCTATGCAGATCATGACAATTCAAGCTTTATTCAAAAGTTCTGTACAAGATCAAAAAGACGTTAAAAGATATGAAGACATTCTTGGAATGTTTCCTTAATGCCTTTAGATATAAGGAAGTCGTACACGCCACCTTTGGAAAAAGCATTGTTGCTTTGATGCTACCTAACAGCTAACTTCGTACCTAAAGGCTACCTTCCTTCCTCAAAGTCAACTCTCTCTNCTTTAGCTCTAACCTAGTTAGGGGTAAATATTACACTACATGATTTACTAATTTTAGTAACGTTTGTTTAGTTATATTTATTAACAAGGTTATTATATATATTCTATAGTAATATTTTCTTTAAAAACGTTACTATAAATAATATTAACAATAATATTGCAATATTTTTGAAAATGTTATCGTAGATAAATGAATTTACTGTATAATATCCTTTTAATCAAAATGTTACTAGTACTATAAGAAATTATTTAAATATAGATTAATTTAAAGATTAATAATAACTAATCATTATATTGATTAAATTAAAAATTACTAAGTATCACTAAATGTTATAATTTTAGTAATTAGTGGTTATTAAAAAATATTTGTTTATTTTTAAAAAAAATATTTTTATTGTCTTGTTAAGATGTAATTAAAAATTACTTTTTAGTCATTTTTAATTTCTTTGAGATTAAATTTTAGTCAATAAAAATAATACAATTAAAAACGAACACAGTTTTTAATTATCATATTATTAAAAACTTAAAATTTTTATCTCTATCATCTAGATTTAGATATTGATTTTGCAGTAACTAAAATTCATATCGCAAAACAATATTTTTTTGTCTCAATTATAAATTTATAACATATTTTAAATTAGTAACAACAAATTTACTAATCTATTAAGGTTAGTATAGCATTGAAATAGTTAATATTAATTTAAAAGTTGACATTTTAAAATAATATTTTAATTTTATTAAAACATACATTCAAATTATTTTAATTTTAAAATTTTTTTAGATAGCATGTTATTTTATGAAAAAGAAGA